CAATGATAGTATTGACTAACTTGGTTAGTGGGTAGACAAGGGAATTAATATTGAGTTTAATCAACTGAATGCTTAGACCGTAAATATCCCTGGAATGACTATTTCTCAGACTGGTTACTGCGTCGCGAATTTCAACTTGGGATACATTTTTAAAATCAAAGGTCGTATGAGAGGAGTTTAGTTTACAATAGTTCATGGAGTCGGTGTTCCTACTGGGTAAATTGGCTAAAATGTTGTCTACGATATTAGCAAAATACATATTAAATTCATTGCAAGATAAATTGGATTGAGGTACAATATTACAATTTCGTTGTGAATTGATTACTGTCCACATCGCTTTAGTGGGATTGCAGGAGTTTTTAATAAACGTATCATTTGCTTTCATTTTAGCCGATCTTATTTCCTTTTTATAAGTTAAAGATAAGGATTTCTTTAGGTCATAAAGGTTCTGAGAGCGGTACCTGTTATACAATTCACTAATGAGTTGTAAATGATCTCTTAAACGAGATAGGTTTTGCGAAAACCAGTTTACGACCTTGCCATCATTTTTTTTAGTTGTATTTCTAATTGGGAAACTAGCAATGTAAAAATCATAAATAATATCGTGAAAGTTCTTAAACGTACTATTAAAATTTTTGTGTTCTGAACGAACAATAGTCTTCCAATCACAGTTTGAGAGTTTTTTAAAGAAGTCTTGCATCCCCGACCTAGTCAAAGGACGATACAAGTTCTTTGCACACACTACATTTCCTTTCGATGCACTTACAAGTTCAATTTGTTGACCTAGATGATCGGATAAACCTGTATTTAGTGTCGAAGCACGATAATTAGAAGTGGAAAAGTTAACAAATATATTGTCTAAACAGTGCACACCGCGTGTTGGGGTGAAAATTGTACGTATAAAACCATTTGATTCCAAAAAGTCGCAAATATTCATAATCACAACACAAGATCATCAAATCTCTTAGTATTACATAAACATAGACTCAAACTCTCATCTAACAATTCAATTAACATTCAATTATATAATAAACTTCCGGCAATCTTTAAAACCTTGAAACTATCCCAATTCAAATCTTCCCTAAAAAAAGTTCTTATCTCACATGCATTCTACTCAACTATAGAGTACTTGGATTGGGCCTCCATGCAGTCAACTAGTCCTGTATGTTGTATGTATTGTATGTCATTACGTTTGTCTTATACTTGTATTTGTCTCTCTTGACTTGCCACAAACAAAATTATATTTATTGTAAAGTGGTTTGAATAAATATTATTATTATTATTATAATATTCAAAAGGAACTTTTCTGCTTGATTGGAGGTGGCCTTTCCAGTGGCAATATTAAACAATTGATCTTTCGGTACATCTGAAAAAGGATTCATGAAATCCTCTATAGTAGTTATTAGTGAATTTAATGCCTTCTTGTCTTTTTTTATCGGCTGAAATATCTTCCTTTTTATTGCAACCTGCATCTTCAAACGTTTGTGTCACGATTGAAGTTCTTATACTGAATGACTAAGTGTCCATCTTTTCCGAGCTTCCACAGAATTCGTTATGGAAGTTACTCCTGATCGTCGTGCAGCATTTGCATTTATGGTCTGCTCGAGACTTAAATCTATTGGTGATCGGGAAAACGGTTTATTAGTTCGTTTAATTGAAAATAAACCAATTACCAATTGACTGTTGTAGTTAGGGTACTTTGTTTCTATGTCTAATACATTGTCGTGGAATCTTGTTGTCCATCGAGAATAATTTGGCTGATTAAAGATGAAGAAGAGCACTGATATTCAAGATAATATGCTAATTTGCATCTTCTGCGTGGCAACGCTAATAAGCCCATAATTTTTTTGATTATCACAAAAATATTTCTTATTGCAGAATAGAAGAGACATACATTTTTAAATAGGTCAGTTGTGTTCGATGTTAATGGTTTAACTAAATCTTCTTTAGTTAACATGCTCTCACCAGAACCGCGAGTCTCATCTTTATCTGATTCCGTACTTAGCACATGTGGTTCAGAAGGGACTTCTTCGGAAAGATTATTATACTTTTCAATAGCAGTTTTTTTCACTACTGTATAACGACGGTAGCAAGAAGTATGATATCCATAGACGTAGCTGAGGTTATCCGGTATATTTATTAGATTTGAGCATACCCGGATAGGCCAAAGTGGAACTCTATCGGTTAAAATTTTGATCATTCGCGTTCAGTGGATTTCGGGCTAGCTCCCCTACTAAAAGTATACTGGGTGTTCACTGTTCAGGCAGTATATTATAGCATCCAGAAAGTAACATTTCTTCATCTAAGATTACATCAGTGTCGTTCCTGGTGTCGTCGGTCTATAAAAAGGAGCTCTCCTAAAGGCCAACCTTTGACAGTTTCTCCACGACAAGCACCGGGTTTTAAGAAAAATTGCTTCCAAATTAAATTTTCACAGTATTTTAGATAAGCAGTTTTATCAAGGCAGTTACAATCTTATAATATATTAATATCTAGTTACCTTATACGTTTATCAACATCTAGGTACTTTATATATGCATCAGTATATTTTGGGGGGCATTAATCACTTTACACCAAATCGAATATGATTACGAATAGTGTAAACTTTAAATGATTTGTCACAAATGCGATGGGTAAATCGTACAAGATGTGTAATGATATACACGAAAATACTTCGCATTTTCAACACTACACGACAAGACGTTTTACTGTGTAAAGTGCAACCGTGTTCTTAAGTTAGTAATCTATTCTATTCGCTTTGCTACAGTTCGCTCGTGAATTAAAAAATTACATACACTAGAAAAATGTTCACGTTTTTTAGTTGAAGAACAATCCACGCCAAGAACATAGATGTTATTAATTCCTGGCGAATAGAATTACCAGGAAAGTCACATCGAACCAGTGTAAAACCAGGGGTTGGAACCCCTATGAAATATAGATTCCGGTTCTCCACTATTTAGGTAGAATTATTTTGTAGGGGTTTCTGTAGCGGTTTCGGTTCTGTGGCTTCGGTATTCAGTATTAATTATAGGTATACTTAGGAAATAAATAATACACAAAATTAAAATTCTTTTATATAAACATTTTTTTAGGTTTAATTGAAACTTATTTTGAGCTTACACCAAAGAATACTTAATCTTACACGTTCGTTTCACCTCTGTCAATTGCCTGTCTTTTTCTACCTTCAGCAGTAGTTTCAACTATTGCATTCCTCATAGTCCGCACACGGTACACTCTTCAACCCTCTTACCGCTTATGATTCATTTTCGATATTTTAGTCACCCTAATATTTTATATTTTTTCAGTACTAATGTGTGGGCAGCTCTGACAAAAAGTGAGAATTTGTATTTTTTAGAAATTCTATAATTCTGAACGTAATTTACACTAGATTTTATTCTTGGTCATCAAGTCGATAAAGGATAAGTCACTCTCACCGGGGATAAGGGATGAAGTAGCATATGACGTGTATACTTTCTAGAAAGTATGATATGCTGACTAGAATTTTCTAGCTAGATGCTTTTCGTTTGCTATGCAAATTGAATAATGTGAAATGTAAGAAAAGCATCATTTCAGAAGCAACTATATAATCTGACAAAGCACAACGTATCTACTCTATCTGCAAGAGAGGCTCCTGGACAATAATAATAACGGTATACCCGGTTGCCCCGTTTCCAAGGAAACCAAGATCTTTTTTCGAGATCTAGGTGTACAATTAAAGATTTCTTTTCGTCATACTTCTATTAATAATCACTATTATCTAATCGACTACAAACGTTTATATATCGCGAACACCCAAACCTTTCACTTCCATTTCGCCATGTCGCTTACACCACTATTGATATTTGTGTTTGCCATTTTATTAACAATGGCAGTATACGGGTTTGTTAGATGGAAAGTAATGAACGATATGGTTAAGGGTAAGTCAAATACCTTTTAGAGTTAGGATATAAAGAACTCAGCTAGAACCAATAGATATGAACATAGCGTTTAATGATAATGTTATCTGAACATCGGTAAGTACTTTGATATACCTACTACCCATTTTATTAAAATCGTCCGCATTCAGTACTAGATAGTGCAAGTTTTTTAGGTGCTAATAATGCTTAACGCATTTGAGGTTGCAATTATTTTGGTGGGTAGCTGTTTTTTGTATGTGTTTATACGATGGACGTGCTATGTGTGTTGGAAAAGGGCGGCAACTGTTCGTTCGGATCGACGCTGTAAGTTTGGTTTCTAATTTCTCTTGGCAAGAGGGGTATAATTATGTTAAAATTATGCCCTTAGTGAATTTTTAGGATCAACATTTAGAATAATTATTAGTCCATTGAGCTCCCTTATTAGGTATATTTTGTTTGTCATTGTTTTTTCCGTGTACACTCCTTTAGATAATATAAATCCAGTCATACCACTGTGAATTCACAATTCTATTTAATGATTTAGATTAGGGGCTTCGTGAACAGTACTTACTGGTTGACAGTAAGGTAATATAATGCTCACCAACTGCAATTGACCTCGGATTTCAATAGATGAAATAAATTCCGTCAATAATTGCAAAACATGGAGCAATATTTTAATCTTATCAGATAAGCCCCTATCGTTTAGGGCCTCCAAGTTACAATTGCTATATGATCGTGTTAATTGTTATTATGGAAACTACCGTTGTCATTGGCATTTTTACATTTTTAGTAGTGTTTAGTGTACTAACTATATATTGTGCATCTGGCGTTATTAGAAAAGTGTGGATAAAACTTTACCGTAAGCGATGCTTTTTCTTCATATAGGAAGGTATCATTACCATACAAAGCACTGTGTCAGTCATTGTATTTTGATACCCGACTATCAGATGGCGTATTCCTTGAGAATCAGTATGAGCTCAATCTGACAAATGGAGAAAAGTGCAATACAGATCGATGACTAGTTAATACTCCCTCCTCCAATTTCTTAGTTATTTTAATGTCGGCTGTACTTTCTGTGAAATTTAATCTCGTCTATTGTTTCAGCTCAACAAACCATTTGGAGTGTATCAGGACAGATGAACCATGAAAACAGTACCGATAACCAAAGATGGCCCACCCATAACAGCAATGTTTCAGTAGATTCCTTTATATTGACGGAATCTGCAAGAATGCAGCAAAAAGATCGCGTCCCACCTCCACCGTATTCTGAAAGTAAGATGCTTTTTATTAAGTGGCATACGCAAACTTGATAATTAAGTTTCAGTTGAATTACCGTCATATGAGCAAGCGGTTTGTATGACTGCTCCTAAAAGTAACACACCCGCGGTCCATGCAGCTTCGAGTAGTAGAACAAATCAAGATCCAAGCCCCAGTTAAGGTTCGGGGTATATTTATTACTGTTACCGATTTCGTATGTGATATATAATTTATAAGTATACTTTAAGTGCGCCATATGCGGTTTAATGAATGCTATGATTAGATTTTTGTTGATCTTGCAGTGTTTGTTGAACGTATACCTACTCTGTAAATGTCAAATGATTTTTTGTAATATACTATTTTAGAATCACGAACAGCTTACACACTAGATCTTTTGACTGTACGGTGACGCAATACCAAGGATGACAATAAACACACTAGCGAGATAAGTAATAGTACATTATATATCAAGGTAGAGAAGTCCACTATTATTGCCTGAGCACCAAGATTACATCTCGAGGCGCTTGCGCCGAGGGGTGTAAGGTGCGAAGGCAATAATAGACTTCTCTACCGTGGTATATATACTATTTTTTTCACTACTAGCACTTGAAATCCTCTAAACATATATTGATAAGAAAGTGAACGGTTGGACAGAATTTTTTGTTTCTTAATTTAACATGTCAATCAAGTACGTGGAAGTACAAGTCAAACAGGCCGTATTTTGTTCTGTCATTGAGATTTTTCAAAGAGTAATTTGGTTCGAATTTTTTCAAAATGTGATAATTTTAGGTATGTAATTTCTCTGGAAATTGCGAATGGTGGCAATTATTCGTTTTAGAGAACCTGTCTAAACGTTCATTGAGCGAAATTTCGGGTTGTGTTTTCTAAAAGTGACAGCGTGACAGTTCTCATTATTGACTACTAGTTAATAATGCCCACATTATTAACCACTTTGAACAAATGCCGAGAAAGCCTACTTTACAAGTGGAAAAAAGGTTAATAATCATGTCATCAGACGCTAGTAGTGAAAAAAAAGTATTTTCGTTTTCTCCAAAAGACCGTTCTCGCTTTAGGTTGGTTCGTGAGAGAACTATAGTAGACTACTACCATAGAGTAAACAACGTAGTTTACTCTATGCTACTACAGTAAGTTGGGTTCTCTCATGTTACTTAAGTATTTACTGTAAACTGATTTTTTTTTAGTTTTTGTATTAATTCTCTAGTTGACGTTTTACATTGTTATTGTTTACATAGGTATGGTGATTGGAGCATACATTTCAACACGTTACACAAACCCATATAAAAATGAAAATTAGATGTACAGAGTGTACATTCAAGATACTTTAAAATTTTTTGATAATTTTCCGTTCATTGGTTTACTTTACTAATGGCATCTTATTTTGGAGACCGTTACATTTGATAAAATCGGTACAGACAAAGAGTATACAAGGAAACTCTGGTATAGATTAGTGGCGCAACACACGGCAGACCGCAAAATAGTCCAGTCAAATTACGGTTTGGGCTGGATGTTGTCATTTCACTCAACGAAACAAAGTGTCAGCAGGGTTCGCAAATGGTCTCTTTTTTAGACATTGGTCTCTTTTTTCAATGATGGTCTCTAAAAGTCTCTATTTTTCATATTTGGTCTCTAAAGTCTCTAAATTTTGCATGTTAAACATGTATAATTCATAATTGATAAACCGCAGAAATTTTACTGTACATTTTTAGCGCATTTTTTAAGAATTAAAAAAAATGTGCTATTGTTTGCGTTTTGTCCGTCTGTCCGTCCAGACCCACTTCTGCCGTTTCGAACTACTTCTAGGGGAATATTCCTAGAGTCCTGGAATTTTTTGCAGTAGGTAGCCTATACCTTGAAGGTGTGCCAGACGGCCATCAAATTTCGCTGTCTAAAAGAGCCCCCCCCCCCCCCCCCACGAATTATTTCCTGAGATGCTGTTTTTGAAAGTATTTGGCAGAATTCTAGGAAAAAGTTTGTTTTGTTTTGACAACTTTGCGCGCTGAGAATGTTGAGAAGTTGGTTCAAGTTTCACTGTTTGGTTTGTATTTTATTTTCGCTTATTTACTAGTCTGGCCTGGTTATTCAGAGGTGATGGGCCTAAGTTTTGTTTAATTCTTGATTGATCTAACAACATACAGAAATAGGTTTTTTATAATAAAATAAAACAAAATGGGAAAGTGTAAATTTCAAACTGAGTAATGTAAGAAGCTAGATATTAATGGCAAAGTTGTAGAATGTTGGGGTCGAAAATTTAACGACGAGAAGGTGTTTTTCATGATTTGCAGTACCTTCTCAATTGCTGCGGTAATAAGTATTTTAAGAATGTATCCATTTTATGTTGTTACGTTGTTTAAAATGTTATTAAAATTGCAACGTTTGTGCAGTTACTTTGTAACGGTTACTTTTTTTAGATATATTGCCGTTTATGTATCCCATCTATTACAAAATAAATATTTTTTGCTTAATTTTGAATGGAAATTGGTTCTCGAAGGTCCCTAAACGGTCTCTATTTTTAAATATGTATATAGAGACCAAGTCTCTATTTTTTTGCTAAAATCAGTTGCGAACCCTGAGTGTATCCTATGTAAAAAAATCCGCTGAATCCGAAAATCATAGTCCCCCTGGCCGGAAACTCCCGGATCATATTGTTATAAACAAAAAACGAAGAAAAAATGGCAAAATGTCGTTTCTTTTCGCATTTGACTACAATTATCTCGTTAACTATTGCTCTGAGAGAAATGAATAGAAATGAATTTGTTTAGAATCGAATTTTGGTATGGAACGTTCATTTGCAAAGGTTTTTGTTTTATATGGAAACATATAATAAGGTAATCCCGAAAGTTAACTATCTATTATTACTAAGTATAATTCATCCGATCTTTTTGAAAATCCGTATTTGGCCACTACTTTTGATAACAAAACAATATGACAAAAGCGATCACCATAAGTTTCATAGTCATCGATTAATTAAATAAACAAATTAAAAATACGATGCTTCGTCTTTCAAATTGGGTGACCCCCAGAGCGTTCTCAATTTTTTTACAGATGATGGAACCCTAAGACAACCATTTCCAAACATTGTCCTGATGATTCTTGCAAATCGACGAACTGTGGAATTTTTTTAGTTAACTAATAACTCCCGAAATATAACAAGAAAGGTAACTATATAATAGGCCCTTGGCACCCTGATTAATACAAATCATACATTTTGGTCAAATAGAACCATAAAAAAGTTCACCCTTTAAAGAATCGTTCGACGCGACCCGATTTGCAAAATCATTTTTGGTTGTCTCGAAAACAAGTCCAACGTCAAAAGCTGATTCTCGCGAACTATCGGATTTGGACGTATTTTTTTTTAATGTAGGTCGATCCTAGAGCTTTCCATTCGCCTATTATAGATTTACCATTCTTGTTGAATTTTGGAAACGATTCTATTTGTTAACTAAGAAAATTCTTCGGATTTTGAAAAAAACATTCCGCAGTCCGTCGATTTACAAAAATCATCATTGGGTCAATTGTTGAAAAGGGTTGTTTTGGGATTCACTAAATGTAAAAAAATTGAGAACGCTCTAGGAATCGCCCAGTGTGCAAGACAATGCATCGATTTTTCAATTTGTTTATTTAATTAATCAATGACTATGATACCTATGGGGATCGGGTTTGTCATATTGTTTTGTCATCAAAAGAAGTGACCAAATACGGATTTTCGAATAGATCGGGTGAATTTTACTTAATAAAAACAGATTACTAATTTTCGGGATTCCTTTTTCATATTTTTCCGTAAAGCACAATATTATTTGAAAATGAAGATTCAATACCAACTGTATCTTATGGAAAATTCGATTTCAAACAAATTCATTACTCTTCATTTTTTTCCCTTAGAGAGCAATATATTGGAAGTCAAATGCAAAAAAAACGACATTTTCTCCTTTTTTTCTTCGTTTTTTGCTTATAACAATATGTTCCGGGAGTTTCCGGCCAGGGGGACTATGATTTTCGGGCTCAGCGGATTTTTTTACATAGAATAGGTACACTTGGTCTCGTTGAGTACTACTTTTTGAGCTAATTTGACTGAACTAGAAGTGTTGTAAGTAATAAAAGTATCGTATTACGATGTGGATCATTAAAGTAAAAGCAGCTATTGTATTCGCAACAATTTTATTCAGTTAGTGATGATGATGAGTATAATATCTCGGGTAAGTACCTATAAAAACCATGTTACTTGAATGAACACTAGGGTTTTCACAAGTTTTAAATTTTAATAAAATACATTGTTATTTGTGAATGGTTTTTTGATACGTTACGATAACAAAGTTTACCTTAGGAGTCTGACAGGAGCTAAGTTTTGATTACTTATTCAAAAATATACCTACTACATTTTCGTTGAAACCGTAAAAATTAGCAATATGGTATTCAGTCCCACAAAAACACCCTGCAGAGTATTTTATTTATGACCAAATTAATCTCGGATCGTCCGAATCGTTTCAATAGTACCTTAACACCTATGTACTCCTTTGCTTTTTGCTATATCAACAAAAATAGGGATTATTGCTCCGTATTATTCTCGTAACAACCTGTAAGTAAATGTACAAAAATTAACCGGCTACACAATTAAAAAGCCCGATTACTTTACGGCCAGTATTGCTTATGTTAATGGTATGTTTAAATCCGTAAATATGAAGTAATTAATAGTTATTTGTGTACCAAGGCCGTAAAAGTGATTTTTTTTGGCCGAAGCTGCTGTTTGCGGCCGAGGCGGTAGCCGAGGCCGCAATTCAGATGAGGCCTAACAAATCACTTTTGGCCAAGGTGCACACAACATTTTTTAGGCGATCATCAAAAAAAAATTCAAAAATTTGCTCATAAACATATTTTTTCTGAAAATCATAGTTATCTTAGACAATTAAAAACAAAGCATTTCCTGTCATATGTAATTATAATTAGCATCTTTGCGTGTGTTTTGTGCGTATCAAAATGGGTGATAGCGACAGTTCAGATACCCCAAATGAAATTTTGGAAGCTGCATAAGCGTTGCGACCCTAAGTCATATACGTATGATATAAGAGGAGGCGTTTGAGAGTAAAAGTACAATCGCAACTTCCTCCGTTGCACAAGATTTTAATAATGTCAAATGCAATAGGTCCTTCGTAACTGTGGCTTCCAAGACCTTATAGTTAACATGCTGTACAATTATTAGAAACCTGATTACCTACTTTGATGGTAGGTACCTATAGGTAGCTACTTGTGTTCTCGGTTAATTGCTGGTGATTTCTTCGTATAATAATGTAAGCAATAACATCTTCCTCATGTTTTGGTTCTACACTTCAAAAAGGTCTGCAAGCAGCAAAGATTGAAACGTCAAACTATCATTTTAAATGTGAACATTGTGATTATGCAAAATAGTG